AAGTCTTTGATAAAGAGTTTAAATGATTAGTATATTTGGTGAATTTAAACCAACACATTCCCACTAGTGTCAAGTAAGAGTGCAGATCGTTCATCCGTCTTTCATACTTATTTTATGTGAATACAAACATTTTATCATCTTAATCATCCTTAAGTCTTCTATGAGTTCTGAAGCCTTTACAGACCTCTGGCACATATGCTGGTAATCTATATATCTATAAACAAAGCAAAGGTAAAAGACTTCTCTTTTCAGGATTTCTTTTAAATATGGTTATTCTTACTTAACCAAATTTAAGTAACATTACAAACTAGAAGTTAATGAAAATTCACATACAGAAAAAGAAGATTTTATGAGTCTGAAACATCACTAAAATGTGATCTCCTTTCCTCAGTTTGGTAGATTTCAATAAAATAGGCAGAGATTAACACCTGAATTTAAATAACACTGAATGTGAGATGGAGACTATGCAATGCTTTCAGCTTTTGGCAGCCTTTCTATCTGTTTAGCATCTGTTGGGGCTCTGTGTGGGCAGACTCCGTGGCAATACTGGGACTAAATAATGCATGAACATTAACATTTTCTTGCTAAGCTTGAATTTTGCTGTGTTTTTAAAAAGAGTACACGTACCAATTGGTTTTAAACAAAAATAACTGTCATATACATATGGCTATATGCTTTAAGTGCAACACAAAATTGAGAGATTAAAAAAGTTAAATGCAAAAACCATTTTTTTTCCTGCTTTGAACAGGTATTTCTTTACATGCCTGTTTAGATCCTGAGAACTTGAGACAGATTTGAACTCAGACTCTCAGATGCTAGGAGGGTATATAGTTTTTCATGTTAAGCTAATTCTGGTCAATTGTTAGTTCCAAGTCTTAGACGTAAATTCCAATACCTACTGGTAATTTCTTCCTTTTTTTTTTTTCTTTTTTCTTTTTTTTTTTTGTCAATAAAAATTAAGATACGTTAAAAGGGAAAAGCTGTGAGCATGTATGTGTTAATGGATATGAAATTAAACTTAGGTGGAATAATATTACTCTAGTTCATAGCTTTGCTTTGCAAATCATTGACTTACTTTCTGGTTTTTATTTAATGCCATTTAAAACAAACTTCACCTATGAAATCCTACAAAACAAGATTTACTAGAAATATTAAAGCTTTTTAATATTTATGTCTTAAGTCACTGTGACATTCTATTGGTGTATTTGAATAGCACTATATTTGAATCTACAATAAATACTTTCCAGGCTGTCTTTATGTGCATCTGCTTACAGACATTCGAAGCCTTTATACTGTGGGATTTCAAGATCATTGTCTAATGCAATATATGAAAGAGGATCAAAATATAATCAGTCAAAGGCTTTGATATCAAACCTCGGAGGAACATATTCCTGAAATGTAGTGTTCAGCACTTAACATGGACAATGTACAAAACAGACATGTGTTAAACATGTTTGAGTAACAAGCCTCAGAAGCCTTACAATTGAAGTTAAATGTTAACCATCAGGCAGAAGTAAGCATGATGAGGATTATGACAATAAGATAATGATAAAACCTAATAGCCCTGGATCTGCTCATGGCAGAGGCTGTATCTTCCAACACTGTGAGCTGACAGCAAGAGCCCAGGGAAGGAGCCTGCGTTACTGTAAGAAACTCTCTCCCATATCTCCCAAGGTGGGCACAAAGGACAAGATCAGAGCCAATTGGCTTAATTTGCAGAAGGCCAGAAAAGCAAAATAAATCAGCTGGGAGCTGCACTGATCAGCAGCTACAGTGAAGCCCTCACAGGCAAGGCGCCTGCCAAGACTGCATCTTCCCAGAAACCTCCTTTACTAAAAGTGGACATAAAAAAATGCTCAACGTTGTGTGCTGAAGCACCAGATGCTCAAGATTTCTTTTTCAGTGCCTGCATCAACAGATACAGAACACATCTCTATCAGCATGAAAGCACACAAGCACAGTCCTGGCACAGTGAGCCAGTCTGAACCCTGGGAGCGGGTGTACATCTCCCTGCACCTCCGAGTGCCTTTGTCCCAGTCTAAAGAAAAAAAAAAAAAAACCAAAAAAAAACCCACAAAAAAAGGAGAGAAAATGCAATTTGGGAATAGTGTCAGGACTGAAGTCTGACAAAGAGGTCAGTGACGGAAGGCTGAATGAAAAATCAATTAAACTATTTCTCCAGTATTAAGAGGAAACACGAACTGTACAGTGCTCAGGAGAGTTAAAGCATCTATGCAAAATACCACTGGGATTATCCTGTCAAATATCAGATGTAGCCTTGGGTATTTTACTCAGCATAAAGTGTCTTAACAGGGTTTATATGCCAGATATCAAAAGTTGAGGAAACAGCTGTGAGCTGAGAGGATACAGCTGATTAAGACATTGGATTTCAGTATGCACAAATGGCAAGAAATGGATTAAAATATGAATTAACGACTTAATGCCAGAAGCTTTGAAGTGAAACATCAGATTTAGAGAAGGATGAAAAATCAGAAGGGGACAGGAAAAAGAGTGAGGTTTTTGACTTATAAGTATCACCTAAATCAATCAATGGAACATACCAACTAACCGAGAGTTTTATTGCCACAAAGGCAATAAAAAGATCCGATAGGTTAATTACTTGACTTTAACAAAGCACCGAGAAGGTCAATGCACTTGGTACCACTTCTTCATAAAATGAAAGAAAAGAAGATGACAGGCATTTTTTTCCTGTCCAAGAGACTGTGCAGTGGATGTTGAAAGTTAAGCCTGATCAGCACAGGTCTGGCAGGTTATTACAAACTGGCTGTCTTAGCTGGAGTTACTTTGACATAAAGACCATCTTTCATAAATGTGTGACATTGGATACTATGTCAAAAAAAATACACAGAAAGAGAAAAAATATTATAAAATATAAAAAATGCAGATTCCTTATTAGCTGGAAACCATATCCTGGGCTGCATCAAGAGAAGCGTGGCCAGCAGGTCGAGGGAGGTGACTCTGCCCCTCTACTCCGCTCTTGTAAGGCCCCACCTGGAGTACTGCGTCCAGTTCTGGAGCCCCCAACATAAGAAAGACATGGACCAGTTAGAACTAGTCCAGAGAAGGGCCACCAGGATGATCCGAGGGCTGGAGCACCTCTCCTATGAGGACAGGCTGAGAGAGTTGGGGCTGTTCAGCCTGGAAAAGAGAAGGCTCCGGGGAGATCTTATAGCGGCCTTCCAATACCTGAAGGGGGCCTACAAGAAAGCTGGGGAAGGACTTTTCATAAGGGCTACTAATGACAAAACAAGGGGAAATGGGTTTAAACTGAAGGAGGGGAGGTTTAGATTAGATATTAGGAAGAAGTTTTTCACTGTGAGGGTGGTCAGACACTGGAACAGGTTGCCCAAGGAAGTTGTGGATGCCCCCTCCCTGGAAGTGTTTAAGGCGAGGTTGGATGAGGCTTTGAGCAACCTGGTCTAGTGGAAGGTGTCCCTGCTGACAGCAGGGGGATTGGAACTGGATGATCTTTAAGGTCCCTTCCAATCCTAACCATTCTATGATTCTATGAAAATGTATTCTGGGAAAGAAGAAAATATATCAGACAGGGAAACTGTATTCTTAAGTGAGCTCAGCAGGGGTAAGAGTACTTAGGCAAATTAATTCAGTGTTAATGAAGGCAAATTTAACAAGCTCTGGTTCTTTGATTATTTTGCCTTATGCATGAAGACAAATTCAGAATCCTCAGAGGACTTGACTATAAGAAAATATAAGGTGATTTCGTATTTTAGTATTGCTAATTAGTTCATCCACACACACAAATTAAGAGGCCATTAAAATGCCTGCCAGTACCGTAGAAGGCACTGAAAGAGATAAGAAGTTGTAGTCCTATACATTAGAGGGTTAATGACACTGGGTCTTATCATTCCCATCAGGATCTGTGTAGCAGATGAGTGTGCAAGCTAAGGGCGGCTCTTCCTTTGGGGCTTACAGGAAGCCACATAGATTTGGCAAAAACACATATTCCAAAGCCAGGTATCACTTCTCAGTTGAAAGAGTTCCTGTTAAAAGAACCAGTTTACCATACTCTGGCACACTGGAATCTCCAATATGCTGCTGCTTGCTCCCAGTAGCGAACAGACTGACAAAAAAACCCAAAAAACAAACCCCATCAGATTTCTGTAGCATCCACACTCCCACTACCAAGTGTTTTTACTGTCTTTGCTCGTTCAGCTCAGTATCAGCACCACCTGAGGTTCCAAAAACAATTCAGGGAGACATTATGACCCCCCTCCATCAGCAAGATTTAGAGGATGTCCATGACGCTGGATGAAATGCAAAGCCACATCTTTAAGAGAACACAGAAAAAGAGCTGGGGACAAGCCTTTCCCTGGGCACCTTTGTTAATGCTCAGCCAGTTCCAAACAGATATCCTCACTGTTTGAATGATTTGCATTGCTTTCTGCTTCACACTTAACAATACCTGTTCATTCTTGACTTGAACAGTTGCTATTCCAAACATCCTTTAAAAGCAGCTCATACATCTGCCAAGAAGAGCAGTGCTGGGCAAATTTTTTTATTATTATTATTTTTTTTAATCTCACTGAAGAAAGATGGACTAGATGGGCTATGACATGCACTTAACCATCCACATGCTTTCCCTCTCATGTATGTGTTGCGTATGTCAGTTTTTCCTCAGTTAAGTATTATGTCAAGTGACATCAGAAGGGTGGAAGAAAGGCCCATCTTTTCATCATTCCCAAATAGTTTACTCTTTCCATGCCCCGAAAATGGTTAATATTCCTACATTTTTTTTATCCTATTACAGAAAAAGTCTTAGATTTTTTCCTACTGTTAGAAGTCTAGGAAGAAATCTCCTAAGTCCCGTTATATATTCCATCTTTGCTGTACCTATGAAGAATATATTCTCAGTTATTTGTGGGTTTCCACTTTCAACAAATATGAACATTCTCATTAATCTTTGCACTGACATCATCTCCTAAAAAGTCCAGGGAGAACAACTGGCTCATTTGAAAAGTTTACACAGAGTCATGTAGACCGAGACGACTGTCTTGATTATCTGGTTTGGCTTCCTGTAAAGCAGTACACCCACAATTTTTGAATGAGCAATCATGTAATTTTAAAAGGCCACTCAGTTCCAATTTAAAGAACATAGACAACAGGAGTTTTGGACAGAAGAATCCCAGGCCGTAGCCAAGGAGACAAACTGGGCTGGTTACATGGAAAGTCTTAGCGTAAGAAAGATGGAGAAATGCAGTTCCACTTGAATGGAAAGCTGCAATCACTCTTAAAAGTAAAGAAGAAAGTCTCTCCTAAATGTTTACCTTGCTCCCTTCCCAAGGCAATTTGAAAGGCAAAACAGCTCACTCTGCATACGCCTCATCAACTTTTAGCATTAAGTCCTCACATTCTACAACTTGTCACAATGTAAACAGCTAAAGATTTTTTAAAAAGAATTTAATTAACTGTGTGACATTAGTAAATCCTACGATGTTAAAAAGAACAAAAACTCCAGGTTGATTTAAAAAAAACAGGAACAGAACTGAATAGACTCTCTTTTTCTCTGGGTTGCCCCTGTGTGGGTGGCTTGGCTATTTGCAAACAGAGATAAAAATCTGTAAGCAGCGATTCGGACTTCCATGCCTCAACTTGTTCATGATGCAATATGCTCATCTGGAGCTTCTGATTTGACTAAATTACATTAAATCAACAGCATAATGGGGGAAATGAGGGAAGCACAATCAGTGAGATATTCAGAAATATTCTACCCAACATTATTAGCAAAGTTTTATTCAACACAATCTGCTTCAAGAGTCACTAGTGCAGTTGTAAATGTCTTTTGAATTTAGATGCCTTTTTCCCCAGTGCCTGGTAGAAGAAAATAAATGCTCACTACCACAGTGCTTTGAGAGCATGCAAATATTTTTTTGTAGGGTAACCATGCTTAAAAATTACCATTACTATGATTTAGGCACAGCACTTCTAGTGTTCCCTATTCAGATGGTGGTAAGTTGACACTTTCAATGAGTAAGCAGAAATCAGCCATGACTCTGTAGTAAGTTCTGCATAGCCAAAGGTGATGGTAATAAAAACTATTTCATTTTTGTTTTTATTTTTTAAAAACAGTTGCAAACATAAAAATAATTGAACTATAGACAGATAGAATCTATGAAGATCCATAAGGCTTCTAGGAAAAGAGCTTGCTTAAGGCCTATAGTATGGAATAAACACACATCATCTTTATCGTCAAGTGACCATATCCTTTTCTAAAGTTCCACAATATCGAGCTAATAACATTTCAGACCTTAATTAGCAAAAAGAAAACTTATGCCCTTTATGATTTGAAATTAATAGGACTTTAGTTGCTATCATCTGCAGTGCTATTTTTCAGATTGGCTTTAATGATCATTGTGTAACTGTGCATGTGCTTTTGTAATATAAATAATTCAACCATTTAATTTCAATTTTTTTACGAGGGAACAAGGACAAGTCTGCTTGATGAACTAATGACCTGCAAAATTTCAGATATTATCAGATAATGAAGAAGATGGCAGATCAATGCTAAAACCACATTTTCAAAACATGTCTACAGTACAAGGTTGCAGCCTAGTAGAGTAGTTATTCTGGCAAATATCTCTGCTTAATTTGGTATGCATCCTTCATTATCTGATTCGTACTGCTATCACTAGTCTTTCTACTGTACAATTAACTCCTTAAAAACAACACTGAAAAACCTTTTCATCTCTCTCTTCCAAAAACATGCAATAATCCACACCAGTATTTTGTGATATGCTCGCAAGGTCAACGTTTTCAAAAGAATTAATGAATAGCAAGAATTCCAATTCTGGGGTGCTAATTTTTTGATCCTGTAAAGAGGTGACTGGAGAATGAGTTTTAGGACTAAATAAGCCATTATCCAAGCATGGGATGTCCACTGACGCACATCACTGACAACCTTCTCTGGAGATAGAAATGCACCCCTTACTCAGGAAACATGATAATACAACAAATACTGAAAACTGACACAACTGCATCACTTTCACTCCAAGGTAAGAAGCTTAAAAAATTACTCTAGCTCTATTTTAGGATCACAAAACATGGAGCAGGGGTTCTTTTTAAAGCAGGGATTTGAATCTCTTCTGCTTCTTCTGCCTTCCCTCCCCAATCCTTGCCTCCTCACCCCAGCAGAGAGAAAGCGGAATAAGTCTGAGGGTTGAAGGCTTGAAGCAGGTGAAGCTCCTGTTGGAGTCTGGTCTAAGAGTTCAGAGAAAAGAGGAGCCCAAGGTCCTTCATTGAGTTATTTTCCCGCTTCTCTTCCTCCCTTACAGTAGCACAGAAATAAACCAGGAAAAGCATCTAACTTCTGCTTCACTCTTGTGTTGGGAGGCTGGGAACTCCCAACATAACACCAATGAACCGGGCTTTTGCTTAGGAAGCCTGAAACTTTCAATGTATTTCTGTTCTCAGAAATTAAGTGGTGCTAGCTGGATCATACTCACACATATAGTAGGAATATTTTAGAAAAAGTAACCAAGCAAACAAGTCTGACAAAAAATAACCAACAACAAACACCTCACCAGAGTTACCCCTGGACAAACTGTATCATATGTTATGGCAATCAGAGACCAACAAGTTTAAAAACAAAACAAACTACAACAGAATTGGTAAAAGCTTTTGACAAGTCTTCAATACTTCCTCATGAAGTATCAAGGCATCAGTTAAACCTGCTTCTTTCAGTGAAACAGCATAGATAGCAAATCAAGACAGGATCTGATCCGACTGATGCAGAAAGGTTTTATTTAAAGTAAATTCAAGTAGAGAACACTCCAAGAGTTAACAATGAAAAAGAGAGGAAGGAGCTCTGAGGTTAAGGTTAAGGGCAGCATCTCAAGGATAACAGACTGAAAATAGGAAAAGAAAAATGTTAAGGTTGACATTAGGAAAACATTTATTATCATGAGGATGATTAGACAATGGAATAATTTCCCAAAGGAAGTTGTTGAGTCAAACACTAGAGGCATTCAAAGGAAATCTAGATAAAAACACCAGGCAATCCATCTGGAGGGCAGCCCTGCACTGATGACCCAAGAGGCTCTTTCCAAGTCATTGAGGATTCTCCTCTTGAAAACAATTCAGAACTTTCTATAGCAACATGTGAACCAAAAAGTAAATGTAAAACATTGCACAAAACCAGAGAAGGCATTTAACGGGAACGTTGTTTTCAGCTTACAGATTTTTTCCTCTATAGTACAAATAATCTGTGTCTATATATACATTCATTACCTCTAAAAAATCCTACCACATACAGATCAGCACAGTGACATTGAGAAGATAAATAAAGCTATGAAATACATTTTCAAAATAAATGACAGGAGCTTATATATAAAACTTGCCTTATGAAACACGATGGACATCATGAAGAAATCCAGCAAGAAATTTTCTGAAATGTCTCTATAGTCAAATCGGAAGAAGATTACAGTAAAGCTCAAAGTAACAAATTGATTAATAGGATTACAGAACGAGGAGCGGAGGAGTTTCATCCCAGCAACTGTTATTAGGATAATATCACAGCTGTAAGAAAGGCAGAAAGAAAAACCTCATTGAATCAAAGTCATAAAGCATTAAATTATGAAGCTCTTAAATACAAACAGCTGCACCAGATGTATTTTAGATTGCTATGTATATCTAAATCTACACATCTTATTGATTTCTCATATTAATCTTATGTTCTTTGAATAATCACATTTATTTTACCCATGTGCAACTCCCTATTTTTCCCTTATCATTATCACACACTTGTAATCTGTAAGAAAGAACTCTGTACTAAAACCAGTAGTATTGACTATTAAAACCAAGAATCTAAGAAGGATATTTTTTGTATAGCTCTTACAATAAAATTCGAGTTTCAGAAGTATCTTGGCACTTCCATTCACACATTACCGTAATTTGAAAAAAACCGCCTTGAACTCACTCCATTTTTTTATTCCTAGAAATTTCACTCGATGATAGAGTTTATAATTATTCTGCTAATTTCATTACAGACAATGCCAAAATTCTGGGTAGAAACACCCACAGACACGCAGTGCTTGAAATTCTTGCCATTGTTCTTGATGGGAAGGCTGTCTATTCTATATAGTAATTAGTTCATCAGATGAAAAGAAATTGTGTGTTGCATCTGTGTGTTGTAACATACATGCAGTCTGTATTTTGCTCTCTCTTATTATATTCAAGAGAGTGAAATTAAGCTAAGTACTCCAAACAGTAAGTGACCACACAGAAAATCAAGTAGCACAGTCTTTAAAAATTAAGAGCTTGCTGCTATAGCTCCAAGAAGATAATGTTCCTTTTTAAACTCTCCAAAAAACGACAGTGTTTTCTGTGTAAGAAAAGAAAATACAATTATATGAGAAGGAAAGATGGAGGTAACGTGTTGGCAGCCCTTGAATTTAAAAAACCAGTCCAGTCTCTGGATATATATCTGATCTTAGAGATTTGAGGTTGTTCACATTTTTAAGTTTTGTTTTTAAGATACTTTACAGAATTAGAAAGATGGTCTTGCTTGGACACTGATTTTGATCTCTCGATAATTCAGCCTATTCTGAGGGTCAGATCCTAGAAAGGTCTCAGGCTCATTGATTTTTAGATCACCTGGATAGATGGGCACTCCCCTGAGATGCGACACAATACTGGGCTCCAGACCATGAACACTTGAATGGTTCTGCGTTTTAATGAACAACCACTGAAAACCACAGGAATGAGCTCAGGAGAAGGAAACGGAACATATGATTCTCCACTTCTATAAGAATTTCCTTACCACCAAAGCAGAGAGAATCAGGAGCAAACCTCCCATAGCTTCTTATTTCCCTGTAAGTGCTTGTTAAATTAAATGGGCAACACCACCTTGTCCATCAAGGTTTTTAAAGGCAAGAAAATCAAAGCAGTATTTTGTGAACTCAATCTTGATCACATACTGGGCATGCTGCAAAAACAGCCCTCAGCTCAAAACCTTTGGGTTTCTGGGTCCTCGTCAGGATAAGGTAAAAGTGATTTACTCTGAAAGCTCTGGCATGTTCAGAGATATATCTCAAGCCTCCTAATGAACCATCAAGTCAAATTCAGGAGTATTTAGTGATATTAAGTACCCTCAGGGTTTTCTGGCAGTTGAACAAGTATATTGTATTCCAGTTTTGCACACTGATGCCCAAGAATCATATTGGATCTATTCCTGAAATGACAACCCAAACCTAATAGACATGTAACAGCAACTCCTTGTTAATTGAGAGCCAGGTGACTTCTCTTAAGTAAATTAAGCACATTCACTTTTTGGGATAAGTATTGTTTTTTTGATGCTGGTGAAAACAGATGGGACTTCAATGCATAATGAGTGACTCAAAGTAGGCCAAGTATTTGCAAAATGCATGGAAGGTTCTCCTTCATCCTGCTGCAAACCAGGAGAATACCTGCTGCCACGACTGACACTTGACAGGCCAGAAAGCTCTAAACAGGTTTTCAATATTCTATCTAGCAAGGCTCGTAAGTCTGTACATTTCCAGGTTGATTTTATGTGGCATTTATTCATTATTGTGTAACTTCTGTAATGCAGATGCAATTTTATTTGAGTGCAGGTCATTCTAAAGGATCCCTAGGACATCACTGTTGGAATGAAATGCCAAGCTGACCTTATTTCTCACCTTGTCAAAGCTGTTCTTTTCAATTTGCCCCAGATTTCTGAATGGAAAACTTAGCAACTAAGCTAAATAGATTCTGAAGCCACTAGAAACCACCCCAGAGTGTCATTTTTGCAACATGGATGAATTTTCACATGGAAAACTTAGGGATCACAGAGTAAAAAGAAGACTTTTTCCTCACTGGATCTGTTAACATGCAGAAAACTTCACACAAAAAAAACCCCATTATATAAAATAATGCTCTCACAGGTAATAGAAAATAATTTGCTCATTATCCCTCTTCTTTACAGATATTGCCACACAAGATGCTTTTCCTGGGGCCTTAGCTCCCAGCAGAGAGAAAGCAAGAGAGAGAGAGAAAGGGGGCTTATTTCTGAAGTCTCTGTGGCAGGTAACAGGCAAGCTTTTCAGCTTGCCAGTATGGGTCCCATTAATAACCAGCACATCAGGATCTGGAAAGCTCAAGCAAACTCCCGACTGTGAAGTAGCTGTTCTGTTTCCTCAAGAAGCAAACTGCTTCAGTCCTTTAAATCACAAAGCAAGGTGAAGCTTCTTTAAAAAGTACACTCAAATTGAGGAAAAACTGCAAAATCAAATCATGTAAAATATACCACCTCAGCCACTTTCAGACACAGAGCAGGTGAGTGCCACCTTCCCTTCTCCAAGGTATGATGCAGTCTGATCCTTGGGTGGAAAGTAACCAAGGAATGTTACAACAACAGAAAATGGGTATTTATGTATTAAAGTAGTGAAAGTACAACCCTCAGTAATGTTGTATATGGAAGGAGCAAGGAGAATCCAGGATTCCTCACAGGCTTACAGAGTTGAGGAGAAAGAGGTAGGACCTGAGGATGAATGTTTTGTGTGAGGTATTTACATGGTAGCTGTAGGGGAGGCGTATTAAAGAGGAGTGACAGAGAAGAAGGGATACTGGGAGTGTTGTGGACAGACCTCAGTTACAAGAAAAAGGAGAAAATATAGGTTTTAAATCCAAGGTGATAATGAAGACACAAGGGGGATGGGGAAGGAAAGGACTGTCATGGTATTCCCCTACAGGCCAAACAATCAGAGGCAGACAAATGTAATTACTTTCTTTAATCTCAGGATTTCTAGGGCACTGACTCACTACTTCTGAACACTTGAGGGAGGTGATACTTTAAAGTGCAATCTAGCTTGGAGGAATGACTATGTAAAAATAGCACCTTCCTAACCCTACATATTTACTCCGTGCATGTGTTCAGTCACGTCTGCTAACTAGTGAACAAAGGACATTTTGATTACTTTTAGCTCTCCCAGCCCTGCAGAACCAAATAGAGGTATGAGTGTGAACTCAGTTTCACCCTGGACAATACACCTTAACTCCTGAAGTGCCTTGGCCTTAACATCTCCCAAGTCCCTGGGGGTAAAAAGGTCAATGGGGAACTAAACAGGCTATCTCTGAGTGACTGATGAGAGTCTCTCTGGAAAAGTAGTTGTCTGGGAGGAATATGCAGAAAATTTGACTAATGCCATAGTCCTAATTTCAGCCCCTAAAAGCAGGGACCACCTTTTCCTTATAGTTGTGTAGTCCCTAAAGCTGTGTTGCTCTTCATGAGAGAAGAATTAAAACAACATGCAATTTTAACGTCAAGTTATTTTATCTAATAAAGTTAAGAATCTAAATTATTATTAATACTGAGGAACTCCCCCACATCCAGCAGTTCTTCCTGCTACTGGAACCTTCCTTCCTGAACACAGGCTGTTTCTTTGTTTTTATCATCTGCATCATTGTCATTCTGATAAAATGACTGCAGAAACTCTGCTCACTGGGGATACTGCAGTCACTAAGCCTGCTGAATATCTGCAGTAGTCAAGTCACTGACCAAAATATTTACCATAAAAGGCTGTCTGCAAGGATCATACTGTGAGAACATGGATCAGCATCACCAGTTCTGCTTAATATCAGAGACAACAGACTTCAGAAAAACTTGTATCCCTACCCTTCTCAAACAACTCTTAATGCAGGACTATCCAGCATTCTACACTGTTGAATATTTTATTCAGTCTTGACTTAAAAAGACTTGTGTGGTGAAGCTTCTGATAACTCCTTTGGGACACTATGCCGTAGTCTTAAAAATCCTCAGTTACAAAATGTTTCCTGATATCCAGCCTAGATTTCTCATTTTCATCTGATTAATTCTAGTTACCCCACTGTGTTTAAACCCATCAAACACCTGCAGCCTGGTATAGTGTGTCTTGCTTTTAATTGACTTTTATACATTACATATATATCTATATATATCTCTCTAATATTTTAATTTCTCTCTCTCTCACTGGAGTCATGTCTTAGCATGTGCTATAGTAGTTTTTCTTTTTTCTTTCAGTAAAGCCAATGATTATTGTGTACTGAAATAATAATATATGAAAGCAAACTGTGACAAGCAAACAGACTTAAGAAACAGATTTCATTTCTCAGTCTTCAGTCTAAAACCAAATATTCTACTAATCACATGCTTTGAGTTATAATCTACTTACTGTGTACCAAGTTTCTTGTATTTACTAATTGAGAAAGCATCAATGGTGAGGGCATTCAGTATTATAGCTGGATACAAAACATATTTCTCAAAGCACTGAAGCCACACATAGAGCCTTTCAAACCACATCAGATGAGCAGCATCTGAAATAGAAATTCAGATAACAGATAATTTTATCAAATAAAGAGCATCTTTTGCACTGCAATACCGTAGAATGAGTTAGCTCACATTAATTAAAAAAATTAACCAACTAAATTATGAAACATTGGAATTCATAATTCTTTTGCAATAGAGGAAAAGTATGTTTCGCTGCTTCTAAGTGCACTCACAGGAAACACTCAGAAATGGTAAGAGATGGCACATGCTAAATGGTAGTTTTTACATAATGCAATTACTAGTCACTATATTAAAGAGCACTTTTAGTGATGAAATGACTCCTGGAGAGGCCCTCTCCAGCTCTGGCGCTGACCTGGTGGATGACCTAGGCAACCTCATTTGAACTCTGTGCCTCTCCTTCCTCATCTTATAGTGGCAAAACACTGTTCCTTAGATGGCAAAGTATCATTGACCTCATTGATAAATGAAATACCCTTTGAGATCTAAAGACTGAAGAATTAACAGGAGCTGGAAACTGTCATAGATGTTTCGCAAAACAAACAGCCGTTGTAAAAAGCATCTGCCAGGATCACATCATTCACCAGTAAAGAATATCTTTTTTTGCAGTAGACTTTTCTAACATCACAGTATAAGTATGCTATATGAGTATTAAACAAGAACTGAATGCTCTGTGCAATTCAACTGCTATGAGAACTTAGGTGAACTGAGTGCAGAAACACTTATGTATGGATAAAATAACGTCTTTATTCTCAACTGAGCTCAGCTAGACAAGGTTATTGGAAAAACAGTGAATGCAAAAAAGCAGAACTTGTTATTGACACAGAAATAACAATGCCAGCTACTGAATCTCCAATACTCTTCCCTGCAGAAATGAAAATAATTATGTGTACACATTCCACTCTCGCCACACACCTTTTCAGTGACAGGCAAAGAAGACACATTAAATCAACATATTTGTGTGTTCTACAGACAAAATTGTATATTGTACAGGCTCAAAGAGAAAGATCTAAAAGCAATCCTTCCAGATTAGCTTTAAGTCATGCTTTGCCAGTATCTTAAACTAAGGCAATGCTCTCACAAAAAACTGCTTTCAGAAAATATGATCAACTCCAGTTTTTCATTATAACAAACAAATATTTCCTGCTGTTATTATCTAAGAGCCATCTCCTAAAAATTCATACATGCAGCAAAGTGTCCATTTTGGAACCTAGCTGTTATTCTCCATTCCTCTCTCCTCCTTCTGAACTACAAATTGCTCTCAGAGCTCCAACTCAAGAACTTCATCCAGCTGCCCAAAGCTGATCTCTATGTAAGAACTCAAGCTTGAATAAAGATATAGAATATCAAGCAGACTAAAAAGAAGGTAGCTGCAGCAGCAGAGAGCTATTGCAGCAGCAAAGAGATATGTGTGCAGACAACATAGACATCAAAAAAGAGGTCTCATTCAGAGGGGACCCGGGGAAAGATGTGGATGATCTGAAAATGGCTTACATGAATCTGTGGGGCATAAAAGCAGGAGTGGGGAGGAAGAAGGAGAAAAAATATCCTCTACTGTTTCAGGGTTTCTTTCTCACTCAGTCCTGCACTACTTGCTACACATCTATTATACCATGAACTCATACATCTTGACCTCAGCCTTTCTTCCTCAAGTCAGGCAAAACAATAACAAATAATAAATGAGTTATCTCATAGGGGCATCACAAGAACTGCTCCGATAATTGCTATTCTGTGGAAGGCCTGAAAGTTTGAACAGCTCATCCAGAATCTATGAAACAGAGCTAGAAATAAAGTTGTGGAATTACAATACCAGCTGCTTGTCTAATTGCAAGCAATCATTCGTCTCCCCATAGCACTACATTTGTCAGAAATTAGGAAGTTGGAAATGAAATTCTATGCAGTAAAAGCACCTCACAGACATCTTGTTTTTTGTACTCGTCCTTTTATTGTCCACGCCTGACAACTACAGGATACTGTTCTTTTCCAAGCTTCTCTTTCTAAACAGAGAACCTTTAAGTTCGGCTCCAACATTTCTCTTACAGGGTAAAAGATAGAAGACAGCCTGTCAGACATATCTATCAAAGGGATTACACAACCTCTTTCTCAGTCTGTTTCATCTCAGAATTTGATAAAAAGCCTCTGCAGCATTCTAAGGGACTGATTTTTTTTTTTTTTTAACTCTTGTTTTCTAACACACAACACCTACAAACTGAGGACTGTAAAAAAAGGGAAAAAAGCCTGTTGTCTGCAGCAGGTAGCATGGAAAATGCAGCTGGATCTCAAAGCAGAAGGAAACCAATCTGTGGAGATCAGTCTGAGAGATCTCTACCCTCAACCTTTTCAAAAGCTGAGTCATTGCACTTAGGAAAACAATGTTTTCTGACAAATGAAGACAGACTTAATCAGGACAAGGGAAAAAAAATCCTACAGCACTTTTTTATGATTAAGTGATGTAACAAACAATAAACCTTGGGTATTCATCAGAATTACTGATTATCAGGGAGAGGAAGCCCAGAACAATGTTTTCAGCTGGGCATGATCCTTAGTAAGATTTATATTTCTACTACACTTTCCTTGGCATATTGTACTAGAAGTTAAAAGGCAACCTTCAATCAAGTCTCCTGGGTACTTTTTTCATACCCAAGTCTTGCTTGGAAAGTAATCATTTTGAAAAACATGATTTAAAAAAAAAAATAAAATTAAATCCTTAATGCGTAGTTTTGCAGAGAGTGATCTGAACTCTTTTGTTGTATAGTTGAAGAACAGACTAAAGTCCCTCAGCAGACTGTGTTCTGACAATGCTGTCTTCAAACACCTCAGGAATATATATTGAGAATGATTAAGGCACAGGATCCATCAAGAAATGACAAGCAAGCTTTTGGCTGGTAGCAAAGGCAAGATGAGAGCTAGGAGGAAAAGAAAAGCTATGCTTCTCAAAGTACGCTGTCTGCTTGCAGAAATAACTGTATCAGAACAGGAAATCAGAGCTCGACACACTGAAATATTTACTGATACTTGCATGTATCAGGGCACTACCCACTGAAGCCAGCAGACATTAGCAAGAACAAATCTTCAAGAACATTTCACAGTTCCTTTCAATTTTAATGTTTCTCTAAAAGTGTTATGACAGAAATTAGAACTCTAAGTTGCACTACCCATGCTGTTCAAATGATATATAGCTGTCAGAATGTACAAAAAATCCTGCCTCAATTTCATCAATCATTTAAGTTTTTAAATTATATAAAATGCCAATGTATTAAGCGTGAGCTATAACATATCAAGCAACACAGCGAGTACAGTACTGTGATGTAAAAGCAAAAGGCAGATCAGATGATAGGCTTGTGAAAGGCCGCTTAAGGCCACTATGATGATTAAGGGACAGAGGCATTTGACAGAGGAGTAGAGGCTGAGAGAGCTGGGGTGGCTTATGTTTGAGAAGAAAAGGCTCAGGGGGCATCTTATTAATGATTGACTGGGGGAATTTTGGGGGTAAAAATACCTGATGGGGAGGGTAAAGTTGATGGAGACTGTTCTCAGTAGTGCCCAGTGACAAGACAAAAGGAAATAGGCACAAAACTGAAATTACATTTCAACATAAGGAAAACAAAATGAAACAAAACCTAAAGAAACCAAAACAAACCAGATTTTCTTACTGTAAGGACGATCGAATGCTAGAACAGGTTGTCCAGAAAGGTTGTGAAGTATCCATGCTTGAAGATATTCAAAACAGGACACAGCCCTGAGCAACCTGCTCTAGCTGACCCTGCCCTGAGCAGAGGCATTGAACTGGAGGTGTCTGCCCAGCCTCAGCCCTTCTGTGCAGTGGTCTCAGGAGAAAACTTCTACAGGTTCACAGATTTGCTGGTGATCAGGAGGGAAAAATGGAAATGATGGGCCATGCACGCTATTCAAAAGAGGGAAATGTAAAGCATAATTTATTCTCCCTGCTCTGTTCCTTCTGGTTTTTTTTTTTCCTAAACCAAGACAAGCTGCAATATATTGCATCCATTGTTTAGAGAACATTTTATTACAAACCTCTCACTTCCCGTTGCTGGTGTTCTTTGCTTTTAAGTATAGGGTGGGAGATCCACAGCCAGGGGTGATGTTTGCGAAGCTGAGGAAGTACGTAATGTGTTACAAATCCCACAGTCCATGCTAAAGCAAACAGGACAATGCTGAGAAATGGCTGGGTCAAAAGAGAAAAAACAAAACATAGTTATAATTTGCAAAGAACATTTTAATATACTTTTAAAAAACATTTTTAACAGTTCCTATAACTGTATTTTCGTGCAATTAATTTTTATTCCTATGTTCAAACTCTCTGACTCCACAGGCAGATACGGATTTTGAAATATATATTTTGCACACACAATTAACCAATTTTTCCTCCCTAATTGGTGGAAAAAAGGCAAGTGATCAGGCTTATTAATTCTGTCCCCCAGTTCCATATCATAAAAGAGCTGTGGATATGCAGAGATTTAAGGAAAGACATGACAAATAAGTAACACTGAAATTAATTAAATTATCCATAAACTAAATGCCTTGCACATAAAAAAAAATGTTATAAGGACCAGTAAATACATTTTCACTAACTTGTCTTCCCATGATCTCTATTCTTTCCAGTAAAAGCACGCTGTGGTTTTGCATAAAAGAGATAATAATACCTTAGGGGAGGGGAAAAAAGGACAGATACATACCCTTAATGATAGAAACACAGTACTGGCACTGACAGCAAATGACAGAACAGCAGCTACTGTGCAGACAATGAGATCTGATTTCAAGATTTCTTTCTGTGAAAATAATTATTTCATACAAAATTAGCAAGCCAATACTATTTTAACCAAACTAAACAAGTCTGTTCTCAATTACTCACAGTTTGCATTGTGATACGGCTACTCAGCACTCCCTAATATAAATGTATTTTCTCCACTCTGTTTTGGGAAATTATTTCTCCACACTCCAGGTTTGTCAAAGTAATCACATTTAAATTCATCATGTCTAAATTATATTTTTAAATAGTGTAGTTTTAAGGTTGGAGAAATGAAAGCAATACATTTTCATACCAAGTCTGATTCTGTTTAAGGAATGTAACTCTTTTACATTATGACTTTTTTATTTCTGGGAATTAAAATTCTGTTTCCATTTCCTATTTGCAAGCATTAAGATTTCTTCAGATTCACTTTCTCTTGCATTACTGAAATGACTCATGTTTTTCTGTAACGTCTTCAGAGACACAAAGTTAATACATTTATTATGTTCTAAAGTGACATGTCTCATTCTCTGATTTTCTGTATTGGAAGGCAAATTTCAGCAAGATTTTATGGATTTCAGACAAGGCCTTTTTCACTGAATAATAATGAAAGGCCATGTCTGCCTTTATATAAAGATCTATAACTAGGGCAGGACTAATTTTGTTTCTAAAGACTGGAAAATATCACTGTCTTTCCAGCCTGTTTTTCTTGTGATTAAAATGTCATCCTCAGTAAACAAATAAACAAGATAGCTTTCGAGTTGTGCAATCTTCTGAATTGTACTTCAGAGGTCACCCAAACGTCTTTGTGAGTAATTGAAAATCTTGTCTTAGATTTATGAGAGGGGCATTTAAGTTCAGCATGCAATACTACTGTTAAGTTACCAAATGAGTAACTATTTGTAGCTCTTGGTTTAGAAACTGACATGCTTTAATTTAAAGACACCTAGAAAAGACACGTGAAAAATGCAACACTTGTTAGAATGAGAAGCTCATCCAATTTCCTGGTGCTGCAATCTAGGTAGTCTTCATAATACTCATTACAGAAAAAGAAAGAAAACTAAAATAATTATAGGATAGCAAACCTACTAATAAGGGAGATAAAAAGAAAGCAAGAAGAACAACTGAACAACAGAAGGGTTGCGAATTACAGAGGAAGCTGGTAGCAAGCACTATATTTAGGCTGCTATCACTCCCTGTTATGAAAGACACATCTTAGTAAAAGGTCACAAGCATCAGCACTTCCACTTACTGCAGCAGGTCTTTGAAATTCAGCAGG